TTTTTTTTTTTTTTTTTGGAGGGGGAGTGAGTTTAATTGGAAGTTTGAGATCTCTGGGCCAGACTCAAACCCTCTAATTGGTGTAATTTTTGTAATAATTGACATTTTTGAAGATGGGTTTTTTGTATGTGGCATTATTAGGGCTTTTTTTTAGGGATTTTCTGCTGTTTGGATTTTATTTTATTTTATAATAATTAAAATTTCTGTGTGTTGTGTTGTAGGCTTCTTGTAGCACTGTGTGTTCCTGCTATATGGATTCAGACTAGTCTGGTAGAGTTGTAAAAAAATGCACCCGTCTCGTCAGCATTCGCGGATCAACCTAGCCGAGCTGAAAGCTCAGATAGTGAAGAAACTCGGGCCCGACAGGTCTAAACAGTACTTTCACTACCTGAATAGTTTCTTGAGTTTAAAACTGAAAAAAGACGAGTTCAACAATCTGTGTCTTAAAATCCTCGGACGGGAGAATATTCCCCTTCACAATCACCTCATTCGCTCGATACTCAAAAATGCTTGCACCTCGAGAACCCCACCGCCGTCAAGGGACCACATTTCAAAGCCCGGGATTCAAATTAACGGGAAGGATACTACATCAAATGGAGGGGACATGCTGCTGCCAGTTTCGCCTAAAAAAGCCCGAACGGGCTGGCGTGACCGTAGAAGTGGGGACCGCCGAAGCTCGCTCGGGCTTAACGGGAAAACTAATTTTGCTCCTCAGCTACTGTCTGAAAATGGGGTCTGTAAATTGTCAGTCTTAAGGTGTAGTACAGGATTTTCAGCTCCTTCATGTAGCAAGCAAGACGAGCCTGGTTTGGATGAGCCTTCTTCTTTGCCCAGGAGCCCTATCCGGGCCCCACTAGGGGTTCCCTTTTGTCCTGTTAGTTCTGGTGGGGCCCGCCGAGCCCAAACGGGCAGCGCCGGGCATACGGGCTCGTTTTCTAAAGATGGGGTTTTTTGGGATAGTTTGACCTTGAGAGAACGTATGGAGCATATTGCATTGGGAGAGGGTCTTGAAGGGGTTTCTCTTGATTCAGCCAACTTATTGAATCACGGTTTGGATTCTTACATGAGACGGTTGATTAGGTCGTGTGTTGATCTCATGGGCCCCAGTCGAGGGCGTGAGGTAACTAGGAATAGTATTATTATGAATAAGCAGTGTGGTTATCAGAAGATGGTTAATGGCATTAGACCAGGCTATCAGAATCTGGTGCAGTGTACTGGGAAAGCTTTGGAAGTTGAAGAGCAAAGAAAAAATTGTCCAGCAATTTCTTTACGGGACTTTAGGGTTGCTATGGAGTTGAATCCGCAGAAACTCGGTGAGGACTGGCCGTTATTACTTGAGAAAATATGTATAAATGCATTCGAAGAATAGAACTCAACTGGCCAGCCTTTTTGGTGTTGGATAAATTTCCTGAATCCATGGAGCCCGCGAACCGTGAGGTGTTTTTAAAGTGGAAGTTCCGGTTTTGGAGATAACGGGCGGGCCAAAGCAGGGATTCTTGATTCAATTGCGCTGTTTGCATGAGCCGTTCATCAGCAGTTAATCGGATGAGCCGAACGTCAGAATCTGGCTCGACAATGTTGTACAATTAGCAGTATCTTCGGTTGAATTTTTCTTTTTTTTTTTTCCTTTTTTTTTTTCTTTTTCACATTTCCTGTGTAATTTATAGTCCATCAGAAATTTTAGAAGCAATTTTGTTTGAATAATTTGTTAGTTAATTTAATTATGCCAGTGACAACACAGTTTAACAAAGAAAACTATGCATACACTGTTGTGCCTTCACTTTCTGTTTACTTCTTTATCTGTTCATATGATGTATTTACTATACTTGCTTCTTTTGCTACCAAATAGTCTCATCAATTTGTTTGTTGTTATTATCTTCGACTAAACGTGTCGACGTTTATATAGTACGAAGCTGAATCGATTTTTGAAAATAGTAGGGACACAATACTAATGAACAGTTGCTGAAAACAAGTTCAGTTCTTGTATTAGTTTCAGAAATGAAGTAATGGACATTAGAAATGGAGAACTGCAAAATCTGCCCGAAGAATTTGGATGAATTATGAATAAAAGCTTCGTATTTTTTGGCATTACAACAGTATCTCCTGTGACATTTGTAAACAAATACCTCTTGAAAGCTGTTTCTTTTTCCATACACAGTGACACTGATCTAACTTCTAAGGGTGACTTTTGTGTTCATTTTTTTGTGCTTGTTTTTATATTCAGGTTTGCTTCTTATAAAATTCAAATGTTCTATCATAAAATTGGAAAGTAACTAAACAATCCAACATATCATTTAATTGATTCACTAATAAATTAGACTAAAGTTCAAAGTATTTGAATTAATATAGGCTCGATAAATCTCGATCTTGTTATTAGACGAAAGTTCAAAGTACTTAAATTAATATAGGCTCAATAAATCTCCATCTCATTCATTAGGAGTTGAATTTAAAGTAACTAAATATGTGGATATTTTATTTAACGAGTTGAATTTATCTTCATCATTATAAGAAACAAATCATCATTTACAAAACATTATTATAAGAAACAAATCATCATTTAGAAAATAAAATTATCGAACTGAAAATACATAAGTGAGAGTTTAAAGTTTCAAATTTTAACATGTTATAAACTTGCTTGTACGAACATGAGTTTAGAGTTTCAAATTTTAACATGTTATAAACTTGCTTGTATACAAAAGGTCACTTTGTTGGAACTCGTTCGAGATCCACTATTACTTCCTTAGCGTGTAATAAATAACGTAAAACTATGTCTTCTTTTTGCTTGATTGCACTCGGTTAATCCGAGGAATTGTCTTTCTCTTTTTATGTGGCTGAGAATAATCACTACGTGACACAACTCGAAACATCACTTAAATATTTAATTCTGAAAATACTAACTCACTAACATACTAACCTATGAATTAACAAACACTCATAAATAATATAAATTTTTCATTCCTAACATTTTTTATTAATCCTCACAACTAATTTACTATAATTTACAAATAATATTTATAATCTTGAAAAGAGCATTAAACGACATCTCTTTAAAATATTAAAGCTTCTAAAATGTTATATAACACATGTAATAATATCTAAAATATTTTATATTTGTTTTCAAAAATGTATGAAATTACTAAAATTTTCTAAAATATTCTTGAAAATATGTATAAAAACTCCTAAATTTGTAATGTACTAAAATATTTTATATACATCATGAAATATAATTTTCATCAAAAGTTGTTTCCAGCACACACAATCCTTGTGTTGGTGTGATTTTGTTCGTCCGAAGACTTTTTCCTTGAACTAGAGATAGAAGGGAAACGTAGTCAATAGCGAGTCGGAGGTTTTACAAGAGTTGGACCGACCCATATCCAGATTTGACCTCATATTAAATTCTATATCATGCATAGTATATAAAACAATAGTGTTTTATTTATTTTAGATGCAGTACAAATAATTAATTTTTTTTTTTATAAATATTATTTGTCAACCACATAAAAAGTATTGCACACTAAACTCACATTGTATCATTACTAGGTTATAATTTTCGATAATAATAATACGTATGTGAGCATTGAAAAAAATATTAATGTAAACATCTATTTTAGTGAGTTTAAATGAAAATTTATGTTTGTACATTATATTTTTGATAAATTTAAGTCACTACAATATAAATCGTAGTCTTTAAATCGAATGATCTAATGGCTAAAAAAATACACCATTTTATACATTTTAAGAGTGATTTGGACCTTATACACAATCAAACCAGTCAACCCACCCCCGCTACACCAATCTACCTCACACACGCATCGCACAATATCTCACACACAATTTACACCCACAAAGAAAACTGAATTCCTATTTACCGCACCAAAATTTATAACACCGTCTCAAAAAAGACCAAAATACCCTTACTAATTTAAAGAAAAAAAAGGAAGAAGCCGGCAGCCCCACCAGCCCCACATTCTCTCTCCTCTCTCCAAAATCACTTCCCTCACTAAAAAAAAATCAACAAAAAAAAATCTAACTCTTCAAAAAAAAATAAAAAAATTTCCGAAAAATGGACGGAAGAGGGAAAAGCTTACGAAATCAAGAGGTACGTTTTTTTTTTAATTTTACATGAAAATTTTGTTTTCGAACTTTTTTTTTACGGTCGCGCCGCGATTGCGGAAGTTTTTGAAGCGGGCGCGCCGCAATTGCGGTCGTTCTATGTGCAGACGGCCGCGATTGCGGCCGCACCTGGCCGCAATCACGGCGCAGACGCTCGATTTAGGGCCGCAGTCGCGGCGCGGACGCCCGATTTTGGGCCGCAATCGCGGTGCGGGCCGCGACCTTTTTTTTAATAAAAAAAAAGAAAATAAGTATAAATTTTATATAAATTTTAAAAATAATATATTTTTTATATAAATTTTCTATATAATATATTTCAAAAAATAAATATAATAATATATATTTTATATAAATTTTAAAATAAATAATAAAAATATTTTAGTTAAAATTTTTGCCTTTTTCGCATTTTATTTTTTATTTAATTAAAAAATATAAATATATAAAAAAAAGATATTTATAAAATATATAGTATTTTTTTTTGTTTTTAAAAAATATATATCTAAAATATATATGTATATTTAATATATATTTAATATATAATATACATATATATTAAATATATTTAATATATATTTATTTTTTTGGTTTTTTTCCCTTTTTTTTGTTTTTTTAAAAAATATATATTTAAAATATATATATTTATTTAAGAAAAGTATTAAGAAAAAAAATATATTATTATATATTAATAATGAAAAATTTTTAAGAAATAAATATATAAATATTATGTATATATTAATTATTAAAGTATATTAATAATTTAAATTAATTTAGATTAATAAATTAAGTTGTCTACTTTAAGTTTTTAAAATAAATGAATTAAAAAAGTTTGTTTACTAATTATTCGTTTAAAATTTTGGATTTAGGCTGATGAGTATCTTGCCGACTTTGCTGGGTCTGGACCTCGACACACGCACGCTCGTAATGTGAATGCTTCCGCTCGGCAGGAGAGGAACCGAATGCTCCTTGATGCTCGTAGGGTACATACTACCCAGGCTGGTAGTTCGAGACATCTCGTTACTCCGATACAGAGTGGTAAGCAGCCGGGCCTACTCATGCCTGGCAGTTCAGGACGCCCCACTCTGATACAGGGAGGTCAGCAGTCTGGCCCACTCATGCCTGGCAGTTCGGGACGACTCTCTCTGATACAGATTAGTCAGCAGTCTGGCCCACTCATGCCTGGCTGTTTGGGACGCCCCACTCAGATGTAGAGTGGTCAGCAGTCTGGCCCTCGAGCATGTTCTCCAACCATAGATCGAGATCCTTGACCATTCCATCGCTCGATTCACCGGGGTTGATGACCACTTCCGTATCATTCACCTCATACTCAAGACTTTCCTTGTTCTCAAGGAGAAGATAGTTCAGCACATCCACATCGCTATCGTCTTCTTCAATGGGAGAATCACATTGATCTTCAGTCCTTAACTTGATCCGTTTCCCTGGTCGCCCAAATTCCATCTTTCCTCGCCTATAGTCGGTTGCAATGGGCCCAAGCGTTTCGAGCCACTGTACTCCCAACACAATATTCGTTGCCTTAAGCAGTAAGGCGTATAGGTCAATCTCTAGCTCTTGATCTTGTGCCATAATTAGGACCTTCTTGAACAATTGATTACCTTGTAGTTCATGTCCATTGGCTATTTTGACTCCAAACCTCTTGACCTTTGTGGGTTCCAACTTCAGTCGCCTGGCTATTCCTTCGTCGATAAAATTCAAACTTGACCACTATCGACCAGTACCTCTAGCAGCAGACCTTTCATTTCAGTCGTGAACCTGATCATCTTGGGACCACGCTTTTGCACTTAACCACATGTAACAAGGACTCCTCCTGTGGCTTCTCTTCCTCATACTCCTCTCCAATTTCCAACAGAAAGACTTCTTTACCTTTGCACTTGTGTCCTGGCATAAATTTCTCGTTGCATGTATAACACAAGCCCTTTTCCCTTCACCGCTGCATCTCTTCTACCGTAAGCCGCCGTACGCTGCTCGTGGTTCGCGTACCCTTGCCAGATGCCGGTTTGACCTCAGGCCATGGGGCGTATCATCGACCGCGACGCTCGCGAGCCGAACGTCTGTGCGCCCCTCGCTCGGTCTCGCCTTGCGCACTGCCGCGAGATGGTCCGCGTGCAGTCGCGCGGCTTCCATGGCAGCACTGCCGCGAGATGGTCCGCGTGCAATCGCGCGGCTTCCATGGCAACCCTTGTCGATCTTGGCCTATCCAGCCATACCTCTGCAGCTAGTTCAGCCTTTAGACCTCCAACA